CTAGCATTAGTTATGACTATGCAATAAGGATTTCAATACTGACAACAGCAAAGAAGAAGTTGGAAATCTCTCCAAGAGCATGTTTATTTTCTTTATGAATATTTATCATATTAATAGTAGACAGTCTCTCAACTTTGATACCAAGATCATATAGTAAATGAAAGGTAACAATACTACTAGAAGACCTGCTATCTACTATTGTGAGTATCTCTACCCCAAAAATGGTGGCATCACAGTACAGGGTGGTAGATTTACTACTAGAAGCTATACTAATATTAGCTTTTACTTTCTTTTTGAAGTAGCTTTTTTCTTGTATAGACTTTAAATTAACTCTGTCCTCATAAGAGAAATAGTATGAAGAAGTTGACTAATAGTTATATTAGCCAGTTTCTCACACAAATTGGTAATAATAAAATATAGTAGAACCAAAAATGAAATTTGCAATATCTTATCCTCAGGTATTTTCCTTCTTATTATAAGAATATGCTTTAGCTTAAGTATTGGAACTTTAACTAAGTTATTTGTATTCTTTTCTTTACTTAAATTATCCTTTTCTTTTTCTTTTTTTAACAATGACTCTAATAACTTTTTTATACCAGACTCTAAGTCACCAGCCATCTCTTAAAGATGTTTTGAAGGCCAAGACATATTGGACTTTATTGTAAAAAAGGGTAAATCTTTATTAAACTGATTGAGAAAAGTTGTTTGATTAACAGATAGGTTTTGGTTTTCTGAATTATTTTGAACTGGGGAAGAGGTAAACTAGCTACCATGGCTAATAAAGCTTGTAAAGCTTTTTAAAACTATATTTTCAAAGCATTATTCAGATTAAGGAAATATTATTATTATTATTATTATTAGAGATAAAACTAGGACCAACAGGCATAGAAGTATATTGAGAATTTAAATTAGTAAAAGGGTATCAGAGTTATATATTGAGTAGAATAGGATATAATTTTGGGGCAGATTAAATGAAATATTGAAAATAATAGAAGTATAACAATTTTTATTAATATATTCTACCTTGCTGTATTTATAATAATATTTTATTAACTACTTCTGTTAATTTATCAATAGCTAACTTAGAAGTTACAAGAAGAGAAGAAAATCTAATTGGGGTATTAGAAGATGCATAGGTGGAGTATAAAATACTAATAGAAGTAGAAAGATATAAAAGATTTTGTTTACAAGTACTCTCATATATCTTAGCATGTTTATAAACCACTTGTAATATATTTGAGATAAAAAGAGCAATAGCCAACACAATATCAAGTTGTAGTCTATTTAAAAAGAGCTGGGCCTTGGCTATTTCTAAATATAGCTAGACTTCAGTCTCAATTCTTCAAAGCAATTTCTGAATTGCAGTATGATAGGTATCAATATCTTCATTAATCTGTTGCTTGCAAGTAGCTAATTCAATAAACTATTTACCTTCTAGAGCCAGTATATAAAATTACAAAATAAAATAAAGCTAAATACTGGTATTGGGTTGGGCCAAATTATCCCAGGTATTAATAAAGTTAGGTGAATATTGGGTAGTGACCTATCATATTGCAGCAGCACCTTTTAAATATAGGACAATTATCAGGATGTGGCGGTTATTATAGACCAAATTGGCAGCAAATACCTTTTTTATCTTATTTAACTAGGTCATTAAATCCTGGTCTTCTCCTAAAAAATCAGGATAAGAAACCAAACTTAACTCCTGATTAGAAGTATTATAGTTAAATTAAGAAGCCAGAGTTGCTTGTATTTGTTAAACCAGCAAACTAATTTGAGCTGCTAAGTTATCAATAGTATTCAGTAGTTAACCTAGATTAGATTGTTAAGAAGAGTTGACCTGTTGCCCTGGATTAGGTTGCTGCACCAGATTAGGCTGCTGTAGTGGTAGTGGCAGATTAGCCACAGCAGGTCATTATAGTAAGTTAACTGGATTTGCTAGAGGATTTTATTGTGTCATAATTTAAAGATAATAAATTTATAATATATATATTTTTAAAGTTTTTACAATATAGAGAAACTAACTCTATCTACTATATTTATTTTAAATAAGACAGTTTGTTTTTTCACACACTAGTACTAAATATAATAGTTAAATAGGAGAGTAAGAATACAATTATAGACAATAATGCTAATTTAAACTTCAACTATATACAGGAAGGATAGTTTATATAGCAAAATGGAGTATTGGTAGGTTTTAAAATGAATCAGTCTTAAGAACAATTATAATTTAATATAATCTAAATAAAGATCTTAAAAAATACTGATATTTAAAATAATAAATTATCAGGATTCAAATCTGATATCTTAAAATCACTAATGCTAGTAATGCCAAAGAAGGTAAAAACTTTTTACTTTTATATTTCTAAATAAACTTTTCTTAAAGAATAGAATTTCTAGATAAAATTACATGACCAAATTCTAAGAAAGTACAAAGACTATTTCACCAAAATTTGGAGTCTTAATAAAATAATGTAAATTTAAAGTCAATTCAGTCTATCAAATTAAGTCTTACAAAGTATTATTAATGTTACAAGTCAAAATTTACAGAAGGTAAATATTTACTTTATTACTTTAGATTATTAAAAGTGTACGTGAAACTTGTGTTAACTTTATTAAATTTGAAGACTTTTTATACAAATTATTTTTTTAAAACATTTACACTTTAATTTGAATAAATTTGTTCTAAATTAAACATATATATTCTTTTCCAAATAAATATATTTTAATCTAAATGTCTATACTTTTGGCACAGGATTTATATATTTGTATAAGCGTGTATATATACTTTTTAGAGCATTCATGTGTTTTATAATATAAGCCACTAAGCCACTATCAATTTTCTAATTAGTATACTTAATTAAATATTCTCATTGAGACTATACTATATGAGTATTGTTATCAAAATAGAATTGGTAACAAGTAAAACTATATACAAGAAAATTAAAAATAAAATAGAAATAAAAATAAAGAAAGAATGAAAAAAAATAAAATAGCCAATAAGAAAAGAATAATCTAAAAATAATTTATTATATCAGTTAATCTATTATTATAACTTCTAATTGTATTTCCTCTATGTATAACTCTAGTATTACAAATCTAAAAAAATTTCACTACTAGCATTAGGGTTAGGTTAGAGTAGATTTTTATTTTAATTTTATGTTATATCTGATTTTGAATTTTAAATTAACCAGAAAGTAAAATTTTTTTGATTGGTAGTACTAGGTCATAGAAAGATATTCATATGATTAGTTAATTTTTGTAGATCTGTCTGTAATTTTCTGTAATAATTAGCTGATTAAAATATGTAATTTTTAAAAAATATTTATTATTTTAATTAATAGAAAATAAAAAAAATTAATGAAGAAGCCAACAAATTAATAAATAAATATAAAAGAATTATCACATGTATTTTATAGAATAGATAGGAACATATACAGTAATATTTATTACTAATAAACCCAAACTTATTAAAAAATATATTATTACTAAATATAAACCAAAGCTTTAATTTATAGTTGACAAACCTAATCATGCTACAAGAATAGACCAAATTTAAATATTAAACTCAAATCTTCTATTAAAACACTTGTATCTATTCAAAGCAAACAATTAACAGTAAAAAATTTATTTAAAATAAAGTAGTTTTAGATGAAAATATTTCCAGTTACCTCCCCTTTGTAGTATAATTTTGAATAGTCTAATAGACAGTGTCTTCTTAGTAAAGTAGATTAGGAGGTAGATTTTTTTTGAATTCTTTTGCATAGTTATATTAATGTTCATTCAAAGCCAAGAATGATTTTTACAATGATTTTTTATTAGTAAAATAAAATAGAAATAAAAATAAAGAAAGAATGAAAAAAAATAAAATAGCCAATAAGAAAAGAATAATCTAAAAAT